AGAAACTTGTCTAAATTTCCGTTTAAAAGCCATATCTGCAACGATTGTGGACGGATTTACCGTTTAGATGAAATATTTGGGCCGAAAGTTACTTTACCATTTAGAGGCCATAACTGGGTTGAAAGTATGTGGATTTACCGTTTAGTAGTCATATCTGGTCTGAAAGTGGCTGGATTTATCGTGTTTTGAGCCATATCTGGACTGAATGTGGCCGTATTTATCGCTTAGACGATATGTCTGGGTCGAAAGTGGAAAAACGGATTTACCGTTGAGAGGTCATGTCTGTGTCAAAGTGATAGAATATACCGTTTAGTGGCCATATTTGGGACGAAAGTAGTCGGATTTACATGCCATGTCTGGACCTAAAGTGGATGGATTTACCGTTTAGTAGCCATATCTGGACTGAAAGGATATATTACAAATATTTATTATTTAAATTATTCTTTATAAATTTTAATTATTTTTTAATTATTTTTAAATTTTAATTATTTTTAACATTTATTGATTGTTTATGTTCATAGAGTGACTTTCTAATTCTATATATTCTTTAATTGGGGCTTTAATTGCAAGCTATTTCACAAACTTCATCATATGCGATTAGTTTAATAATAATTTCTTTGGTTTTTATAATTTTAAGGAGAAGATATTCTTTTTTGAATTTTGTGAAATGGCATGTTAAGTCCATTATTTTTAGTATTTTTTGTAAGAGTGTCAGCGGGATTGAATCATAGGCCGATAGATTTTGTTGAGTCAGAGTTAGTACCAGGGTTTATTGTGGAGTATTTTAGAGGGGTGTTGCTTTGATTTTTATAGTTTTTTATTGTTGATTTTTATAGTATGATATGATTATTTTTTTTTATGTATTTAATAGTGAGAATATTTACTAATTTAATTGGATTATGATGATCGTGGTTGTATATTAATTTGATAGTATTTTTAATTTAATACGTGGGATATTACCTTGAATGCGGTATCAGTTAATATATTTATGTTGAAAGATTATTTTATTTTAAATTTTATGATTTTTAGTTTGATATTCAAGTTTATATTTGTATTTTTATAGGAAGGGATTAGTAAGTAGGGGATAGGAAAAGAATAAAAATAGTATAACGGTATTTTAGAAATAGTAATTGAAGAGATTAATTTATGTATATTAGATGTACAACTTTGCTTCCGCCGTTTTCCTATAGATGGCTTTAGCGATAAGTGGTGGTCGAAATAAATAGATCATAGACATCAATAAATTTGGGCATTTGTCAACATAACTCCATAGAAACATTAGTCGATTTATGTCTGCATCATAAAGTTATTCTCGATTGAAAATGTCAGTTTACGAGCCAAATTCTCGTCATTACGGTCCAGATAGGGTTACTAAACGGTAAATCCCGCCACTTCCGGACCAGATATGGCATCTAAACGATAAACCCGGCCACTTTCGGCCCACATATGACATTTAAACTACAAATCCAGCCACTTTCGACGCAGATATGACATTTAATCTATAAATCCGGCCACTTTTGGCCCAGATATGGCCTTCGAACTGTAAATACCACATTCCGTTCAGATAATGCCTCTAAATAGTTCATTCAGCCAAATTTTGCTAAAATATGGCCTCTGAACGGTAAATCCAGGCACTTTCTGTCTCTATATGGCCTCTAAACGTTAAATTCGATCACAATCGGCCCAGGTACAGCCTCTAAACGGTAAACCAAGCCATTTTCGGTCCAAGTATGGGCTCTAAACTGTAAGTCCGTTCGGTCAGATATGTCCACTAAACGGTAAATCCGACCACTTTCGACTCAGATATGGCTTCTGAACGGTAACCGCGACCACTTTCGGCCCAGATGTGGCTCCTCAACCACTTTCGGACAAGATATGGCTTCTAAACAGAAAATCTGTCAACTTTTGGGTCAGATACTGTCTCCAAAGGGAAAATCCAGCCATTTTCGGCCTAGATATGGTTTCTAAATGATAAATCTTGCCATTTTCGGCCCATATATGGTCTCTAAACGGAAAATCCGACCATTTTCGTCCCAGATATAACCTATGAACGGTAAATCCGTCCACTATCGAGTGACACATGTCCTCTAAACGGTATATCTGGCCATTTTCGGCCCAGATATTACTAAATGGTAAATCCGTTGACTTTCGGCCCAGATATGACCTCTAAACGATAAATCCGGCCACTTTCGACTCAAATAATGCCTCTGAAAGGTAAACCCGATCACTTTCAGTCCAGATGAGACTTCTAAACGGTAAATCCGGCCACTTTCGGCACAGAAATGGCAACTAAACGGTAATTGCGGCCCCTTTCAGCAGATATGGCCTGAAACTGTAAATCCATCCACTTTCGACCCAGATATGGCCTCTAAGCGGAAAATTAGTCTACTTTCTTTCCAGATATGTACTCTAAATGGAAAATCTCGTCACTTTCGGCCCATATATGTTCTCTAAAGGGTAAATCCAGTCCACAGGCCATATCTAGGCCAATAATGGTCGTATTTACGGTTTAGAGGCCATATTTATTTCGAAAGTCGACGGATTTACCGCGTAGATGACATATCTGGGCCGAAAGTGGACGAAAACCCATTTAAAGGCTTTATCTGTGCCAAAGTGATAGAATTTACCATTTAGAGGCCATATCAGGTTAGAAAGTGGCTGGATTTATCGTATAGAGGCAATATCTTGATCGAAATTTACGGGCTTTATCGTTCAAATGCTATATCTGGGCCGAAAGTGGCTGTATTTACCATTTAGCTGCCATATATGGGAAAAAAGTGGTCTAAATTTCCATTTAGAGGCCATATCTTGACCGAAAGTGGCTGGATTTATCGTTTAGAGGATGTGACTGGATTGTAAATGGACGTATTTATCATTTAGAGGTCTTATCTTGGACGAAAATGGATATATTTATTGTTTAGAAGCCATATTTGGTCCGAAAGAGATTAGATTTACCGTTTAGAGGCCATATCTGAAAGTAGCTGGATTTACCATTTAGGTGCTATATCTGGACCGAAAGTAGACGATTTTTCCATTTAGAGGCCAAATCTTGGACGAAATTGACCGGATTTACCATTTAGACGCCATATCACGCACACGAAAGTTGCAGTATTTACCGTTTATAGTGATTATCGTGGCAGAAACTTACCGGATTTACCGTTTAGTGTCCATATGTGAGCCGAAAGTGGCCGAATTTATCGTTTAAAGGACATATCTGGACCGGATGTACCGTTTAGGTGCCATCTGGGCAGAAAATGACTGGATTTACCGTTTAGATGACGTTTCTGGGGCAAAAGTGGCAGAGTTTTCCGTTTAGAGGCCGTATATATAGGCAGAAAGTGGCCGAATTTAGAGGATATGTCTTGGTCGAAAGTAGACGGATTTATCGTTTAGAGTTCATATCCGGGCAGATGTTGACCGGATTTACTATTTAGAGGACATGTCTAGATCGAAAGTGGGCGGATTTAACGTTTAGATGCAATATCTGGGTAGAATGTTACCGGATTTACCGTTTAGAGGCCATATAACCCCAAATGTGGCCGTATTTACTGTTTAGAAGACATATCTGGTCCGAAAATGACCGGATTTAGATGTCATATCTGAGCAGAAAATGGCCAATTAGAGGCCATATCTGAATCGATAGTGGCGGAATTACCGTTCAGATGCTATATCAGAGCCGAAAGTGGATTTATGGTTTAGATGCCATATTTGCCCGAAAGTGAACAACTTACAGTTTAGAGGCCTTATCTGGCCTTATATCGAAAGTGGCTTGATTTATAGTTAAGAAGACATATCTGGGCAGAAAGTGTAGTAGAAGCCATATTTGTGACGAAAGAGAACATACATGTGCCGTAAATGGCAGGATTTACCGTTTAGAGGATATATGGCCGCGAAACGGTTAATCTTGTCACCTTCGGACCAGATATGTCTTTTAAACGGTAAATCCGGTCACTTTCGGCCCAGATTTGTACACTAAATGGTAAATAATGCTACTTTCTGCCCAGATATGTCTTATAAACAGTAAATCCATCCATTTTCGTCCCAGAAATGGCCGCTAAACAGTAAATTCAGCCACTTTCGTCCTCTTATTAGTTATGGCCTCTTAACGATAAATCCTGTAAGTTTCTGCCCAGATAAGTCCTATAACCGGTAAATACTGCCACTTTCGATGTGATATAGCCTCTAAACGTTAAATCCAGCAACTTTCGACCAATATCCTTCTATTTTCGGCCCAAATATTGCCTTTAAACGGTAAATCCGGCCACTTTAGGTCAATATCCGGTCACTTTCGGCCCAAATAAGACCTCTAAACGGTAAATCTGGCCATTTTCGGCCGAAATATGGCCTCTAAACGGTAATTCCGTCCACTTTCTTCCCAAATATGGTCTCTAAATGGTAAATCCGGCCACTTTCTTCCCAAATATGGCCTCTAAATGGTAAGGGCGTATGTGTTACATATGTACGTTCATATGTACGTATGTTCAAGTATATGTTTAATCATACATATATAAACGTATATATAAATGTAAATACGTAATATTATACGTATAAACGTATGTCTGAAAATATGAGGACAAATTAATAAGTTTTTAGACAAACATAGTAAAACACATTTTTTTTTATCAATTCATTTTTATTTCTCAACATAGTCTACTTTCAGCTCAATACACTTGATCCAATGATTCTCCAATTTTTTCAAGCCGTCCGAATAATATAATTTGTCCAACCCTTCAAAATAAGCCTCTGTTTCGGCGATGAGCTGCTCTCTGGTGGTGAATCTATTTCCTCCGAACCATTTCTTCGGGCTTGAAAATAAGAAATAGTCGCAGGGGGCTAAATCTGGCGAATATGCTGGATGGGAAAGGAATTCGTCGCGGAATTCGTCAAATTTGGCCATAGGTGCAGGACCCGTGCATTGTTTTGATGGAAGAGTACTTTCTTCTTCTCCAAATGGGAATATTTTTTCTTTAAAATGTTGTTGAAATGATCCAATAAGGCTGCTAATAATTGCCATTGATCATTTGCTTCAAAGAAAGATAATCGATATGAATTATATCGCGTGCATCCCAAAAAAACTGTGGCCATCACTTTACCAGCCGACTTTATGGTCTTCGCCTTCTTCGAAATTGGTTCTTCCGGTAAAGTCCATTGTTTTGACTGTTCCTTCGTCTCGGGTGTGAAGTAATGGAACCATGTTTCGTCCATAGTAATGAATCGACGCAGAAATTCATCTGGATTACGTTGAAACATCTCCAAATATTGTTTTGAAATTGTCACACGATCGCGCTTATAATCCAGTGAGTGTATACGCTAACAATAGAAAAATCTAAAATTACTTTTGATATATATGTATATGTATATATGTATATATGTATTTATATATATGTGTGTATACGCTACAATAGAAAAATCTAAGATTAAACTAATAATTAGGTTTTCTGTTTATGTAAAACGAGGTGATGATGTAATCAAAAAGGGAGAGGACCTCGCTGACTCGACGAGCTATTGAATAGATTGAAAAATCTCTTCGAGAGATCTATCGTTTTCGGAAGAGGCGGGGAAAAGGTGGGAGAAGGAATTACGGGGTATCTATCAAGAAGTATCTATCAAGGAGAGTAAGATGGGGAAGGAAATTCCAAGTCTAGAGATGGAAGGAAGAAAGGATCGTCCCACATAAGATCCATGACCGGTATCGCTGAAGGTGGAACCTCCCATTCAACGATTCCTATGGCCTCTACCAAACTCTATATTCCCATTCAGTTGGGCGCGGGCCTCTTCCGAGAGGAAAATTCCCGATTGGATCTTTACTATTATCGGAATCCCCTTTTTCTTGATCGTTTCGAGCTTCGCTCGCTTCTTGCGATCTGCATGATGGCGATACTATTTCATCATCTAAATTCATCACGTTAAAAATTTCCCTTCTTTAAATTTGATAGGAATATGCATTTTGGGATGAGTGAAGAAGAGGGGAAAGGGAGAAAAACCACCAATAAATAATTGAGGTGAATTGAAAGGCTAGAAGCACGTTATCTGTTTTAGTGATAGTAGAGACCGAAAAGTGAAGGAATTACTCAAAGCGTTTTACCGTTCTAAATAATCCGAAGAAAAAAGAGAGAGAGAGAGAGAGAAAATGTAATTACTCGAAGCACTTCACCGCTTCAAGTAATTAAGAGAAGCGGTTTACCGCTTCGCGATATAGGAAAAGAGATGAAATGTAATTACTCGAAACATTTTACCGCTTCAAGAAATCACGAAAGTGAAAAAATGTAATCGCTCGAAGCGCTTTATCGCTTCAAATAATTAGGAGAAGCGCTGACAATGCTCGACCCCATGTTGCGAAAGTAGTCAAGACGTACTTGATAATCAAGACACCTAATATATATATATATATA